AAAAATCACTGCTTCACAAAACATAAAACTACATGTCATATGTGCAAGTGACAAGGAGTTTAAACTCAATCACCTCAAATGAGTAAGAGAAAGAACCAAAAAAAAAAAAAAAGAAAGGATAAGAAATCAGAAAAATAAACAGAAACCAAAACACATCACAAACACAAACTGTACAAGCCTGTTGGAAAACATTAATAGAAAAGTATGAAAACAAAGAAAAAGGGTGAACTTAAACCTTCTTTTTTATTAACTGCCTTGAATTCTTTTTCCTTGAATGTTAATAATATTCTTTTATTTTTCAGAAAAAGCCTAGATGGATTCAATGACTCAACTCTCAGCTAATGTTATTATAAAACCAATTTCTGAGGAAATACTGAATGCTTCCCCTCAAAGATTAAGGAAGAAGGCAAGGATGTGTGTTTTCACCACTTCTATTCAACTCTGGGAGCGTAGTGCCTAAGGCATTTGACTGCTAACCGGAAGGCTGGCGGTTCAAACCCATCAGCCATTCCTCGGAAGGAAGGTGGGGCAATCTACTTCCGTAGTGATACTGCCTGGGAAACCCAAGGAGGGGTCGCTATGAGTTGGGTCCGACTCAACGGCACATAACAACAACAACAACATTCAACTCTGTAATGCAGGTTTTTAGTCATTGCAATAAAGCAAGAAACAGAAAAAAAAAAAAAAAGGTATTCAAATGGGAAAGAGAGAAGGAAAACTGCCTTTATTAGTAGATAACATGATCATTATGATGACAGCTTATGGACAAGAACCAGCATAAAGCCAATTCCCAGAAGGCAGAGACTAATCATATCCCTGCCCTCCTATCTCTCCATCATTTCTGACACTAGACAATTTGTAGGCTGGCAGTTCAAACCCACCAGCCACTCCTCACAAGGAAGGTTGGGCAATCCAACTCCTACTTCCTTAGTGATACTGCCTCGGAAACCCAAGGAGGGGTCGCTATGAGTCGGGGCTGACTCGACGGCACATAACAACAACAATTTGTAGCTCGCTCTCTCTGTCTCTCTATTCTCACTCTGTCTTCTTCTTTCTCCTCTCCTCCCTCTCTCTCTCTGTCCCTCTCTCTTTCCACATCCCTATCTCCTTCTCTTCTCTCCCCCACTCTCTTGCTCTCTCTGTTCCTAGGTACCTGGGGCTAGGTCAGAATTTACAAGTTAAGAGTACATCATCCTTGGATTCATAAATTCACTGGAAGAACTCACAGAACTCACAGAAGATATATTTATGAACTACCAGCTTTACTGTAATAAAAAGGATATAAATCAGGATCATCCTAAGAGAAAGTCCAGGGAGGTTCCCAATGTGGAGATGTCCTGTCTCAGAGAAGGTACATCACCCTCCCTTCACCATCAGGTTTTTATTGGCCAGTCCTGCATGGCAGACTAAATCATACTCCTGAGGCTAGTTGATATCGACCTCCCAGGTAAGCTTTTTCTGGTTTGGTGAGCCCCCATTTGCCAGCATGAATCCTCATATGTGGCCTGGCAATCCCTGAACAAGTCACCCCAATGATTCCAAGGGTTATTTTTCCCAGAACCAAGGAAGAAGGTCACTTTACTTAGGGTAAAATTAGGTTCTTTACTCCCCACTATTTATGTAGAAAACGCTATGAAATCCTCAAAAAAGTTACTAGAACTAATAAAGTAAGTACAGTAATATTGCAAGAGTCAAATCAACACACAAAAAAGCAATCATATTTTTATGTTTATATAGTAACAATGAAAAATCATAAATTAAATTTTAAATATATTTATAATATAAATATATTTAAAATATAAATATATAGTATTAAAAATATTATAAAATTTCAAAATTTTAAGTTGTGAATTCTTCTCAAATTGCTCTCTAGATTCAATGTGATCCCAATTGAAATCCCACTAGGTATTTTTATAGAAACTGACAATCCAATTCTAAAATTCACATAGAAATTAAGAAAATCTAGATTAACCAAAACAACTTTAGAAAAGAACAGATTTGGAAGACTTATACTACTTAGAGCCTAAGGCATCTGCCTGCTAACCAGAAGGCTGGCAGTTCAAACCCACCAGCCACTGTTCAAAAGGAAGACTAGGCAATCTACTTCCATAGAGATATGCCTCGGAAACCCAAGAAGCGGGTCGCTATGAGTTGGATTCTACTCGATGGCAGTGAGTTTGGTTTTGCTTTACACTATTTAACTTCATGACATATTATAAAGCTACAGTAATAAAGATAGTATAGTATTGGTCAAGATACACAGGTCAACGGAATAGAAAATGGAGTCCAGAAATAGAGTCATACATATATAGTCAATGGATTTCAACAAAAATGTAAAGGCATCACAATGGGAAGACCATAGTTTTTTCAACAAATGGTTTTAGAACAACTGGATATCCATGTGCAAAAGAAAGGGGCATGAATCCATACCTTAAACCATATAAAATAATTAAGTCAAAAGGAAGATAAACCTAAATATAAAACCTAAACCTATAAAACCTCTAGAAAATACATAGGAGAAAAATATTTGTGACTTTGAGTTAGGTGAATATTTCTTAAATATAAGACCAAAGCATAAAACATAAAAGAAAAATGAATAAACTTCCACAGTAATAAGAACACGATATTAAGGATATTACAAAACAAATGAAAAAAGAAGTCATAGCTGGGCAAAAACATTTATCTAATAAAGGACTTGTAAATACATAAGGTTGCCATGAGTCAGCGTCCACTTGATGGCAATTAACAACAACAACGACATCCAGAATACATAAAGAACTCTCAAAACTCAAAAATAAGAAAACAAAACAAAAAAACTAATTTAAATTTAAAAATTGAATACATTTTACCAGGGAAGATATACAGAGAGCAAGCAAAGACATGAAAAGATGTTCAACATTATTAGTCATTCAAACCAAAAAAACCAAACTCACTACCATCGAGTCGATTCTGATTCACAGCGACCTCCACTGGGTTTCTGAGGGGGTAAATCTTCACGGAAAAAGATTACCCCATCTTCCTTCCACAGAGTGGCTAGTGGGTTTGAACCGCCAACCTGCTGGTTAACAGTCAAATGCCTTAGGAAACTGTGTCACCAGAGCTCCTTAGTTAGTCATTATATGATGTAACGCACTGCCATGGAGTCAGATCTGACTCACAGTGACCCCTCCTTGGGTTTCCAAGGCAGTATCACAATGGAAGTAGATTGCTCAATCTTCCATCTGAGGAGTGGCTGGTGGGTTTGAACCGCCAGCCTTCTGGTTATCACTCAAATGCCTTAGGCACTATGCCACCAGAGCTCCTAAAATTAAAACCATAATGAAATGTCACTATACACTTACTAGAATGACTAACATTTAAAAGACTGGTTGTGGTACTTAAGTTTGTGTGTCAACCTGGCTGGACCTGGTTGAGTGGCTGGGCAGTTGGATGTAGTATTCCCCATGCGGAGACTGGGAATCAACTCCATGGTGGAACCTACTCTGAGTAGTTGAGGAGCTGCCTTTGGGATATGTTCTGCTTCCTGTATATAAGTAGAAGCATTGGGGAACGGTCTCTAGTTTACGGCACACTTGAACCCTGCATGTAGCCATGTCATTGTTCAGCAGCCTGCCATGCTCTGCCAACCTAGGGACTTCCAATGGACTTGAATTAATGGCCTGCCTTGTGGTTTGGTAACATCAGGACTGTGCCTTTTTACTTGTCAACCTTGTGCTTGTCAGTCTCAGCAGCCAGCAGCTGTGTGAGGGAAGAAAAGCCTCTAGCCTCAGTGGGTCGGGAGCAGGAGGCAGAGCTGAACCCCAAGGTTGAGGTGCTTCCACCCAGCCCCTTGAGCCTGGCACTTTGAACTCGGACTCAAAGCCTCCAAACTCCTGTTTGTTCAAGCCCTCCCATTTGTGGTATAATCTCGTCAGAGCGGCATTAGATAACCAGAACTAAAACACGGGTCATCCTCCAAACGTTGATGAGAATATTGACATGCTGATGGGAATATAAAATGGAACAATCACTTTTTTTTTTTTTTTTTAAATTAGGATTTGGGTGAAGATTTACAGAGTAAATTCACTTTTCATACAGCAGGAACAATCACTTTTGAAAATAGTTTCACAGTTTCTTAAAAAGTTGAATATACAACTACTTTTGGTCATCACCTCTTAGGTATTTTCTCAAGTTAAATGAAAACTTGCATTCATAAAGAGACTTATACACAAATATTTACAGCAGCTTTATTTGTAATAGCCCAAATTAGAAACAATCCAAATGTCCATCAGCAGGTGAAAGGATAAACAAACTGTTGTTCACCCATTCAACAGAATACTACTCAGCAATAAAAAAGAATGAACTACTGATAAGTGCATCAACATCAATGAATCTTAAAATAATTATGCTAAGCTGAAAGAAGAAAAAAAACATGTTGCATGAGTCCTTTAATACAAAACTCTTGAAATGCAAATTAGTTTATAATGACACAAATCAGATCACTGGTTACCTAGGAACTGAAAAAGAAAAGGAAGGGCAAGAGGTAAAGATTTCAAAGGGGTAAAATAAGACTTTTTGGGGTGATGGGCATGGTCATTATCTTCACTGCAGTAAAGATTTCATAAGTGTGTGCCAAAATTTATCAAATCACATAATTTAAATGTAAAAGTTTATTGTATGTCAATTATACCTCAATAGAGCCATTAAGAAATTTTAATGGCAAAAGGGATGACATGAAAGATTAATTTGTATAGCTCTAACTATATATACTCTTCTAAACAAATCACTGAATTTCTTTGGTGAAAGCCAACTCTAGTATGGGCAAGAAAATGGAAATAACTTCTTAGAAAAGCTGAATGACTTCTTAAGCAGAAATGTGCAAGTGGAAATGAAACTTAACACTTCAAATTCACAATATGTTTTTCTGTTTTGATGTGCTGATGGTTATTTGCAAGTTTTTGTTAAGTGCTGAACAAGTAAACTACATGTATGCAAAGCACACCAAAAATAAATAATCATACCTTGATTTGTGCAAAGGGTCTTTCATAACCTCCAACGTAGAGAAGGCCAACATTCTGAGGAAGTAACCTATTTAAAAAAAAAAAAAGTCATTTATAAAATATTCTTCCTCAAATGTAAAGCTGTATAAACATCAAAATTTGCATAAAGGATAAAAAACAAGTAGCTGTCAAGTACTTTCAGACTCATGGTGACCCATGTGGACCATTATGACCCATAGGGTTTTTACTGGATGATTTTCTGGAAGTCGCCAGGTCATTCCTCAAGGTCACTTCTGGGTAGACTTGAACCTCCAACCTTTCAATTAGCAACTAAGGACATTAACCAATTGTACCAGCCAGGGATTCTATAAAAAGGACAGACACTGTGAAAAAATTACCCTATGTAATTATTCTTATTTTTTGCATTAAGAGAAGATAAACAAAGAAATATCTCAGAAAATAGTAGGCTAAAGAAAGCACCTGATGAGAATGCAAACTTAAATGTAAAACATTCTACATATTAGTAACATATTAGTAATTTTATCAAAACAACCACATAGTTTCTCTAGAGGAGAATTAAAAGAAGTAATGCATATGTTTAAAATCTACAAGGATTCAGTTCAAGAAACATTTATTTTATGTCTATACTATCAACTAAAAAAGACAAACCTAAATAATTCACCCAAAATCCAACAGGAGACTGTAACAGACAAATAATTAACTTTAACAAAGGTAGCCTCTGATAAGCACAATCACAGAAGCATTTGCCATGGGAAAAAAATCCGAGTAAGAGGTACCTGTTATGGAAGGATCTGGAAAAGTGTCAATAGGTAGGATTTGGGTAGGAGTTTAGCCTTAAAGGGCAAGATAAAAAGAAAAAGTTAAACAAAGGCCTGAGAATGCAAAGAGGATTTGAGACAAAGAGTAGACAACTATGGCTACAGTAAAAGACAATATAGTGTGGTATAAGAACACAAAGAAGTTTGTAATGGAACATGAAAGTCTTCAAATGCCATGTATTTAATTCTATAAGCACTATGTTGCTGTTGTTAGGTGCTGTCAAGTCAACTCTGACTCATAGTGGCCTTGTGTACAACAGAACAAAACACTGCTCGGTCCTGTGTCATCCTCACACTCCCGGGTATGCTGCAGCCCATCGTTACAGTCACTGTATCAATTCACCCGTTGAAGGTCTTCCCCTTTTTCACTGACCCTCTACTTTACCAAGCACTATGGAGTCATACTTTACAATTTTACTTATTACTTATAAAAACAATAAATGCACATGGAAATAAAAATCAAACCATAGAGATAGTATAAGATTAAAAAAAAAAAAAAAAGTTGCTTTCTCTGCATTATTTCTCCCTTCCTAGTCCCACTTTTCAATATACATCTCAATATAAAGAAAACAAAAATCCTCATAACTGGACCTATAAGCAGTATCACAATAAAGGGATGCAAAAAGGGCAAGGAGGCCACATGTTCTGATCTCCTCTAATCCCACAATAGGAAGACAGAATCACCATCAATAGCCCAAGGCCTATTACTGCAAGGCTGGACACGCTGCCTCCCTCCAGCCCTTTCTCCAACC